ACCGTTGTTTTTGTTTTTTGTTTTTCAATTTCAGTCAGACAGGTACATCTTATTTCTGTTATTCCATCTTATTTAGAATCAAAAGGCACTCCCTCTTTTTTAAAAGTTAAGCATAAAGTTTTTTTTAATAGACTTCATTCAACTGTTTTTTTTGTTTGTTTTTTTTTAAGGATTTATTTAAGAGAGAGAGAGAGTGGGGTGCCTGGGTGGCTCAGTTGTTAAGCATCTGCCTTCAGCTCAGATCATGGTCCCAGGGTCCTGGGATTGAGTTCCGTGTTCAGGCTCCCTGCTCTGCGGGAAGCCTGCTTCTCCCTCTCCCACTCCCCCTGCTTGTGTTCCCTCTCTCACTGTCTCTTTCTCTGTCAAATAAATAAATAAAATCTTTAAAAAAAGAGAGTGTGAGCAGGGGGAGGGGCGGAGGGAGAGGGAGAAAAGCAGATGCCCTGCTGAGCAAGGAACCCCAGAGCAGGGGTATGGGGCTCGATCGCAGGATCCTGAGATCATGACCTGAGCTGAAATCAAAAGTCAGATACTTAACTGACTGAGCTACCCAGGCACCCCTCACCTGTTTTAGTCTATGAAATTTATAGGGTCTGTCCTGCTCCTTGTTCTGTCCACTAGCGCTTTATGTGTTAAAAAGAACTGTTTTATAATTTTGGATTATGAACTCATCTGCAGTGGGAACTTAATCTGTGGGAATTCTGTGAGGCCTAGGCTTAAGAAATTTGCCTCTAGATCAGTTTTATGTTTGCCTATCCAAGGCTCCCCTCTTTTTTTTTTTTTTAAAGATTTTATTTATTTATTTGAGAGAAAGAATGAGAGAGAGAGCATGAGAGGGATGAGGGTCAGAGGGAGAAGCAGACTCCCTGCTGAGCAGGGAGCCCGATGCAGGACTCGATCCCGGGACTCCAGGATCATGACCTGAGCCGAAGGCAGTCGCTTAACCAACTGAGCCACCCAAGCGCCCCCAAGGGCTCCCCTCTTTATGTGTTATTTTTTATTTTTTATATTCCTGGGTCATAAAAGTAGTTTACAGTTGACCTTTGAACAACACAGTTTTGACCTGTGTAGGTCCTCTTATACATGGACTTTTTTTCTTTTTACATTATTGTAAATGTATTTTCTCTTTGTTACAGTTTTCTTTTTTTTTTTTTTAAAGATTTTTTATTTATTTATTTGAAAGAGAGAGAATGAGAGAGAGCACATGAGAGGGGGGAGGGTCAGAGGGAGAAGCAGACTCCCCGCCGAGCAGGGAGCCCAGTGCGGGACTCGATCCTGGGACTCCAGGATCATGACCTGAGCCGAAGGCAGTCGCCCAACCAACTGAGCCACCCAGGCGCCCTCTTTGTTACAATTTTCTTAAAAACATTTTCTTTTCTCTAGCTTATTTTATATTATAAGAATACAATATAGGGTGCCTGGGTGGCTCAGTTGGTTAAGCGACTGCCTTCGGCTCAGGTCATGATCCTGGAGTCCCGGGATCGAGTCCCGCATCAGGCTCTCTGCTGGGCAGGGAGTCTGCTTCTCCCTCTGACGCTCCTCCCTCTCATGCTCTCTGTCTCTCATTCTCTCTCTCAAATAAATAAATAAATAAAATTAAAAAAAAAAAACAAAACAAAAAAGAATACAATATATATTACATATACAAAATATATATTAATTGACTATTTATGTTATCAGTAAGGCTTCTGGTCAACAGTAAGATATTAGTAGTTAAGTTTTTGAAGAGTCGAAGGTTGTGTGTGGATTTTTTTTTAAGATTTTATTTATTTATTAGACAGAGTGCACAAGCAGGGGGAGAGGCAGAGAGAGGGAGAAGCAGGCTCCCGCTGAGCAGAGAGCTTGATGTGGGGCTCGATCCCAGGACGCTGGGATCATGACCTGAGGGGAAGGTAGATGCTTAACTGACTGAGCCACCCAGGCGCCCCTTGTGTGTGGATTTTTGATGCATCAGGGGTCGGTGCCACTCACCCCTGTGTTGTTCAAGAGTCAACTGTATATTCAAACATTAAAGACACATGAGGACAGGCCATGGTTTTTAATTATCAGGGGAGTCGATTTTTTTCCCATGACCTAGAATTCAGGTCAAATCCCACAAGATTCCATGTTTGGTTAGACATAAAGGTAAACTTTGTTCTGTTCCACATTTTCACTGAGAATACAGTGCTTTTAAGGTCCCTAAGTTGATGTGGAAATTTCAGTTCCAGCTCTCAGGCACAAGACTCTCACCAACAGCTGCTTGGAGCTACAACGCAATCTTCTTCTTCTTTTTTTTTTTTAAAGATTTTATTTATTTATTTGACAGAGAGAGACACAGCAAGAGAGGGAACACAAGCAGGGGGAGTGGGAGAGGGAGAAGCAGGCTCCCCGCAGAGCAGGGAGCCCGACGTAGGACTCGATCCCAGGACCCTGGGATCATGACCCGAGCCGAAGGCAGTCGCTCAACCGACTGAGCCACCCAGGCACCCTGGAGCTACAACGCAATCTTCTAAGGCTACCATGTCCCCACCAAGCTCCAGTCCTTCAGGATTGACATAGTATTAACGTATGTGCTTAGCTCTCTGGTTTTCTGTTTCTTATTCCCTCTTAGAGAGCTCAGCTATGACTTAAAGGAATGTCTGCTATATTTTATTCAGAACTTCCTCTATGACTGTTGGGTCCTCTGTATTGTCAGGAACAGACTGTTCCAATTTACTTCTTAACCCACTATCACCAGGCTTCCACCTCCACGACTTCACTGGTGCTATTCTTCAAAGGCCATTGATGACCAGGAAGCAGCTGCCAAATTCCCTGGATGCCGTTTCAGTTAGGATGTATTCCAACCACAAGTGATAAAATATCTGGCCAAAAGGAGCTTAAACCATAAAGATGCTTAATTTTCCTAAAACAGCTGGTTGGCTGGGCAGCTCAATTCCATTAAGGACCTATGTTTTTTCTGTCCTCCTTTGTCATCTTTAGCATGTCAGTGATGTTTTTTATCTCATTGTCACATGGTGGCTGCCTCCCGTGACCACATCCAAGTAGCAAAACGTAGCAAGCAAGAAAAGGACTTTTTTCCTCATGAGCCTCTCTCTTATCGAGTAGGAAAAATCTTTCCAGAAGGTCCGAGCAGTTGACCCTTGCACCCCTCTGGGAAGAACTGTCACATACCCACCCCTGGAACAATCATTCAACTCATCCCTGGGGTTGGCAACATTGCTGTTGGAACAATAAAGGGATTTTGTTGACAAGGAATAGGAGTTGTAGAAATGTGCAAGGCAAGATCTCTGCCCTTGAGGTCCGTGTTGCCTGGGGGAGACAACAGAAACACAGATAGAGCAAATGCAAAATTCATGGTCACACAAACTTAGGTGTACAGAAATGTAAATTCTCTATTAGTCTACCCCCAAATCTAATTTCCAGCCTAAACCTCCCCATTCTGCCACATGCAGGGAACAAAGTATCACATCGTGTAAACTCCATCAGGGGTAGGCAGTCATCTGTTTGTGCCACAGACACCTTCTCTGCCTTACTGTATAGGACAGTATAGAACAAAACTTTCATTATTTGGAGCAGGCTCTTTCCTCTCAGACACATTTTACACCTGCTGCCCATCTGGCCTTAAAACATGATCCTTTGCTGGACCTCGCCCCCAAATTGCAAAGTGACAGTGAAGCACTATCTCCTTCTAAGGAAAGGGGTCCGCACAGTTTGCTAGTTCATTGGACAGTGAGTATCAGAGCTCAGTACCAACCCCAGGGTGGACAACAAGAGAAAAATCTTTAATTTCATTTGCTTTAAATCTGAAACAGAGAAAAATGGCTCAGAGGTGTTTATTTGGTAGTGACTATGGAGTCAATTTCCTCTGTTGGGCAGCATGGAGGGCAGGGAGGCTGGAGGTAGAGGCGAGGTTCAGGTGTAGACAGACCCATGCCCGAGTTTGGGTGACTCTGAAATGTGCATCTGCTACCTCAGTGTGTGTTTCTGCTGCCCTCTCACAGCATCACCTCAAGAACAGAGATCCCTCACTTTATGTATCTCCTCAACCTGTCTCCCCTCCCCTTTTCCACTGCCCCGCCCAGCACAGGACCTGAAACAAAGTAGACGCTCTACAAAAATGCTTGTTTAATAAAAGGTTGTTAGAGTGAATGAATAAATGAGAAAAGGAGGTTACTGCAATGGGAGGAAACGAACCCAATAGATCCTGAAGACAAATGTGTTCAATTGTATCCTGATTAAGGAGAGAAACATAGAAATGCATGCACACAGGCCGATTGAGAGAGAGAGCTCCTGCAGACAGAGCAGAGCTACGATCACCAAGTAAAGAGGAGACAGCCTAATCAGAGAGCCAGACAGGCCCCACCTGACTCTTACTGCAGCTGGGAGAAAAAAAAAAAAAGCCTAGAAGATTCAGCAGGCGCAGTCTCCCCACCTCCGCCCCACTCCCACTGCTCGGAGAGGCAGCATGGAAGCTGTGGGGCGGGGAGGCAGCCGAGCTGGGCTTTCCAGAACGAGGCAGGATGGTGTGAGCTCAAACGCCCTGCAATTGCTGGAGCAACGGTGGCGACACTTGAGTTATTCACAAAGGCTGGAATTCAAATGAGGCTGGCACGGCTCCAAGTCGCAGTAGCTTAGGAGGAGAGAGAAAGGCGTATTAAGTATTCATCAAGATCTTAGCGTTGCGTGGGCTCTGAGCGTTCTCCATCTGCATCCCTCCCTCAACCACGGATTTTTGCATGGAGGGGGGTGCTCCCCCAGAAGCACTTTATCCGTCAGTCTGGGGGGTGGGGGTGGGGGGCCGAAGTTAGGCAGAATTGTCTTATCACATGATGGGGGACCTGTATCATGTGATGACTCCGGTGATGTTGGAGGCAGCATGTGACTCCCAGGGCTACGTGGGCTCAAAAACAATTTAAATACAAAAACACAAGCAGGTTCCCCTCCTTTCTTTTGCCTTTTGGTCTGGCTCTCCCTACCTTTGGGTTGGTGCCCGACTGAATGGAAAATCCGTCATCTTGCAGGCGCTAACCTGTGAGCACCGGGTACCTGGAGAACCAGGCCCCCTCTGCTGGTGGTCCCCCAGGAGCTGTGCCCCATCATTCTGGAGCCCACTGACTCCCAGCCTGGTAAGTTACTGAACACTTTGAGCAATTATTTGCGAAGCTGTCCTAGACTGCCTCATTAGCATGCACAGGGTACCCTCACTGGGCACTGGACACGTTGGGAGGAAAGTGCCTGCCGGCTCTGGGGAGCTGCAGCTCACCAGTTGGTGGTCCGTCTGTCTGTCAGCCAAACCTCCCCAGCCTTCCTGGGAAGCCGAGCTGTGCTGGTTACGTTGTGCTGGGGTGGAAAGAGCTCCTCCATCCTTTTCCCCCTCTTCCCCCCTCCAGCCTGCCTCTTTCCCATCTCCTCCCTCAGTCTTGCTCCTCTGAGTCTCTCTCTCACCTGCCCTCTCCCTCTCCAACTCCTATTTTCCCCTCTTATTTGCCCCCACTTTCTCTCTCCCACTGCTTTTCTTAGGGGGTCTGCTCCCCTCGCCTTTAAAAAAAATTTTTTTTGGACACCTAGATCTTATATTCTTTCTGTCCAGAACCTGACAGACAAGCCTCTGAGGACTTGGTGATTGGAAATGTACTAACTGTCCTTCTAAAATGTTTTTCTCACCAATACAATGTATATGGCCCAGTTCCTGCCATATATGTGTGTGTGTGCGCGTCTGTTTTAAAGGGTGGCTGATCTTTTTATTGGGGCCATCAGAACTGTTTCTTGGGTGGACGTTTGTTGGCTCCTGATCCCCGCTCAGCTAGGGGATCATCAAGTGATAGGAGGGGCACTTATAGCAATCAGGAGACATTGCTCTCTGACCCCAAATGTCTGGCTCTGTGGGAGAAATCAGGTCTTAAAGCAGGAGCCAAGATCCAGTCAGTACTCAAGGATTAGGGGCTCTACGCATCTCAGAGAGCTGGCTCAGAGTTTGAGGCCGCACCTTTGCAGAATGAGACAGATGGCTGAGAAACTAGCCATGGGGAAGACACATGTAAATTTAATCATGGCAGTGTCCATACTTACTACATAGGAAGGAGATGTTGGGTATGTCAGAAGCTTCTGGTTCACTGTTATCCAGGTGTGCTGATACCTGTTCAGCAAGAAATAATTAACAATTATTGTGCACAATCCACCCAAGGACTCAATGAGCAGGTGCTATTTTTATCCCCAATTTAGAGATGGGCAAACTGAGGCACAAAGCAGTTAGTTAGGTCACTCAACTAGGAAGTGATAGAGCTAGGATTCAAGCCCAGACCGCTTTTCTCCAGAGCCTGCACAGTTAACTACTATGATAAACTGCCTCAAAAAAAAAAAAAATCCAGGGGCACCTGGGTGGCTCAGTCAGTTGGGCGTCTGCCTTCAGTTCAGATCATGATCTCCAGGTCCTGGGATCAAGCCCTGCATCGAGCTCTCAGCTCAGTGGGGAGTTTGCTTCTCTCTCTTCCTCTGCCTCTCCCCCTGCTTATGCTTTCTCTGTCTCTCTCTCTCAAATGAATAAGTAGAATCTTAAAAAAAAAAAAATCCATCCACATTACTATGTGACAGGGAGTATGCAAGGTTCAGGGCTATATTTGTGAATAAAACAGAGACATCCTGTTCTCATGGAGTTGACAGTTCATTGGAGAAGGTAGCTACTAAACATCATCACATAAGACAATATATAATTTCAAATCGGACCATTTGCTAAAAAGAATAGGAGGTGCCATGAGAATGTGTAACTGGAGACATACTTCAGTTGGTGGACAAAGAAGAAGAGTTGGTCAGAGGAGTCCCCTCTGCCAATGTAATACTTAAGATGTAACCTGAGAGAGAGAGGAGCAGAAAGTCAAGCAGGTGAAGAGCCAGGAAGAACATTCCAGACCGAGGGAATAGCATGTGTGAGAGCCTTGAGGTGGGGAAGAGCTGGGACCACCCGAGGAGCAACAGGACGCCGATAGGCTGAGCCCGGTGTGAGTGGGACCGTGATAGGAGATGAGGCCCTCCAGACTATGTGGATCTCTTGTAGGCCTTGCTAAAGTGACTTGGGTTGTATTCCAGGATCAATGAAAAACCATTAAAGCATTTAAAGTAGGGAAGTAGCATAATTGGATCTGCAGTACGAAAAGCCTTCTTCAAGAGGTGTATCAGTTAGTTTTTGCTGCATTACAAACCACACTGAAATACAGTGGCTTAAAACAACACTCATTTATAGCTCCTTATGCCATGAGTTGGCAATAGCAGGTGGGATCATCTGGATAGTACTTCTTGCCTGGGTTCACTCGTGTAGCTAATCAGCTGGCACACTGGCTGCTGGTGGCTGATTCTAGATGATCTCATGCACGCGTCTGCTGATTGGCAGGGGCAACAGAAATTGGCTGGGCCATGTGTCTCCATATCTAGTGAGCTAGCCCAGTCTTCTTCATATGACAACAAGAGAAGGGGAACCCCCAACGCACAAGCACTTTACAAACACCCACTTGTTTCACGTTTGCTAGTGTTCCATTGGGCCTAGACAAATTACATGGTCAAGGCCAGATTCAATGGATGGAGAGAAATAGATCTCTTAACCAGAGGAGCTATAAAATATTGGGTTCCATTTGTTTCCAGTGTACAACGTGAATTCAAAATGATAAGCTGGATACTGTCTTCCTCTACTATGGGAGGAATTGAAAGCCAGGAGGAAATTTGGAGCCAATTTCGCTATGGTTGGAAATGAACTTAAACTTGGTCGTGTATCAAACTTTGTGTTCTGATTAGAACAAGTAGGAGTCTAAGCATCTGTTTTGGCCACAGATCAGGAGCATATCTAGAATGTGGTATAGAAATGTCGCCTCCTTTTCTCACAGGATTATCTGGGAATAGCTTGGAGTCTAGGAAGACTTTTAAGATTGTTACCCTAGAATGAAATTTGGGCCATATGGAACTCAGAATGTGTTTAAGTGTTCCAGGCAAGGCAACAGCATGTACAAAGGCCCTGAGGCAAGGAAGTAGGTGGCTTGTTTGGGAAACAGGAGACAATTTAGTTTAATGTAATTGCAGTGGAAATGGAACAGGAGTGGACAGATAAGAAAGATGCTTAAGAGGTAGGAAAAAAAAAAAAAAGCCTTACTTATGGATCTGATAGGAGTTGAAGAAAAGGGACATATTAAAGAAGCTTCCCAGGTTGGTGATACTATTTCCTAAAGTGGAAAGACTAGGTTTAGATCAGGATGTTTGCAGGGAGAACCGGAATAGGAAGGGCAGAAAAAAGTCAAACATGGTATCAGCTGGGTCAAATCTTTCTGAGACACTGAGTAAATTAAGGAGCAGAAAAGAGTCTGTTTGACTTGGAAATGTGGAGGTAGCTGCAGACTTGGACAAGAGCAATTTTGGTGGAGTGGTGAGGATGGAGACCAAATTGGAGTGGGTTAAGGAGTGAATGAAGATAAACAAACTGTGAAAGGGATAACAGAAATCAGGCAGTATTTAGACACGGGTCAGGGGAACTGTCTTGATTTTACATTTGCTTTAAAAAAAAAAATAGAAGCCTCTAGATTATGTAAACTATCAGAGCAGTCCAGCTGGAAGAGAGAGAGGGAATGGGATCCAAAGTGTATGAATGAATAGGTGATGACAGATTTTTATTTTTTATAGGAGTGGATAATGAGAAAAGATGGAGCAGATACAGGGAAGCTTGTAGATGTGGTGTTGGGAAGATGAAGCACTTGCTGTCTGTCAGCTTTTATTTTCACAGCGAAGTAGAAGGCAAGGTCATTAGCAGAGAGAAAAGGAGATGAGAAGAGGAAAGAGGAGGACATAGTCTTCTTGGAGAGGGAGAAATAAACATTGTAAAGAACAGAGCAGGGTTGCTAGATAAAGCAGAGTGCCTATTAAGAGCATGTATCGGGGCGTTTTCTCCAATGTCATTTAAGTGGTTGGGTCCAAGCACCTGGAGATGGTAGAGTGCCATTACACTGAAGTTTTGCTGGACAAATTCCACAGAAGAGAAAAGGGCAAGGATGTTGAAGCGGGTTAAAACAGAGTGATTGTCAAGGTGAGCCACAGGATCTAAGCTGGGCCAGAATGGGAATGGGACCAGGAAGAAATGATGAAGAATGAGTCAGTGGTAGAAGCCAACGGGATAGAGGTTATGAAGAGGTGAAAGACTGTTCTTGAAGGGAGTCCTGCATCAACATCACCTGAGAGCTTGTTAGAAATGCAGGATAGGGGCGCCTGGGTGGCTCAGTTGTTAAGTGTCTGCCTTCGGCTCAGGTCATGGTCTCAGGGTCCTGGGATCCAGCCCCGCATCGGGCTTCCTGCTCAGAGGGAAACCTGCTTCTCCCTCTCCCACTCCCCCCAGCTTGTGTTCCCTCTCTAGCTATGTCTCTCTCTGTCAAATAAATAATAAAATCTAAAAAAAAAAAAAAGAAAGAAAGAAATGCAGGATATCAGGTCCCATTTCAGATCTTCTGAATCCAAATCTGCATTTTAACAAGATCTTTCTGATTTGTATGCACCTTAAAGATTGAGAAGCAGAGGGACACCTGGGTAGCTCAGTTGGTCAAGCATCTGACTTTCGATCTCAGCTCAGGTCTTGATGTCAGGGTGGTGAGTTCAAGCCCCACATTGGGCTCCACGCTGGGTTTGGAGCCTACTTTAAAAAAAAAAAGATTGAGAAGCACAGCTCTAGAGTATCCTATGGAAGAAAAATGGTGCTATTGTGGGCAAGGTGAGAAGGTAATGAACCCCAAAGTGTCCCTTTCAAAACAGATCTTGATTGAGCAAATTTCTTTTTTTTTTTGCTCTCGTTTTTATCTTACTTTATTTTTAGTATGCAGAATTTCAAACATGTTAAAATTTAGTGAAACCCTGTATACCATCATAAACTTCAATAATTTTCAACTCATGGCCAATCTTGTTTTCTTTATACTGTCCCTCCCACCCAGAATTGTTTTGAGTCAAATCTTAGACTAATGTATTTCATCTGTAAATATTTCATTATCAACCTCTAAAAGACAAGGACTCCCTTTTTAACCATAACCACTGTACCATCACCACATCCCAATAAAATCAAGAATAAATCCTTATTATCATCAGATAACCAGTTAATGCTCACATTATC